TCCCCCGCCCGGGTCCCCGCTGCCTTCCCGCCCCGCGCCCGGTAACCCCCTCGGGTCCCCTCTGCCTTCCCGCCCCGCTCCCGGTTCCGTCAGCGCACACCAACGCCTCGCTCACGTTCGATCAAATTAGTAATTCCAGAAAGCTTTATTAATTCCAGCTTTAATGCTGACTTTATAAAATTACGCCGACCTTTCCAGAAGCCAGAAAGGCAACAAAGCCTAAATTTATAAAGGAAAAAGTAGTGATCTTGTTCAGGCAGGAGTTTTGAAGGGCACAAAGGGCAAGGAAATAGCTTTGGGGAAAGGATGCATGCTCCAGATGTCTCCTTTATTCAAACGTCAGCCCAGATCCCCCTACGTGGGGCACGTTTGCCTGTTTGCCAGAAGGAGTCAAATACTCAGTCCTGCCAGTTTGTCATATGGCACTGAAATCTGTTTTTGATGATAAAGATGTTGTCCAACCCTACTTCTTTAGAGTATCTTTCCTTACAAACCAAACTGCAACTACTAATCACAATTTTCTCGAGCAATACCACATAATTTTTGTTTTCAGTGACTCTTGTAAAACAGTTGGGTTTCACCTTGAATGAGTATATTTCTCTAAGAACGCATGCATTATCCACTAGTCATTATTTGTTCATTATTTTTATATTATAACCATGCAGCAAAACTTTCCCAAGTAGCCATACAAACAACCCAGTAAAAGAAAAGTACCAGGAACCTTTCAGTGACTGCCTAAAAGTTGGAAGTATTCACAGAAATCACTTGTCACACAGATTAATGGCATCATGAAAGTCAAAGACTCCTTGCAAGTGGATTTAATTCAGTATTTGTAATCAGTAATTTAATCAGCCTTCATCCTCTCTCCCACTACTATTCCTCTAGACAGATTACTGTAACTCTGCTGACCCACCAGCTCTGCAAATCTCAGTGTGCTGTATGATCAGAGGGGCAGGCCCTGCCTTTGGGACCCAAACCAGTGCTGTCTGCCGATCTTCAGGATGAACTCAAGCTGGGCAGTCACAAAGAATAGGAGCAAACACCTACACCAGTTTAAAATCTGTTTATAATATTTTACTGGGCTAAGGTTATGATAAAGCTTTATGGCAGAGTAAGTGATCATGCACGCTGGCGATCTGCTGTGCCTCCCACAGCCGTCTTCAGAGGCTGCTTCTCAGCCCACCGCCTCTCCTGGTCACTCCTTTCTCACCCTTACAGCCAGCTCCAGCCTCACTCTCTTCCTCCCCCTCGGCATAGTGGCAGCTGTGATGTCCCCCCTGATCTGCAAAAAGGCTGGTGCTCCTTATTTCAAGTCACCCCCAATGCCACGTAACCACAAACAAGCTGTGCTGGACTGCACCGACACCACACTGACTGAGAGCCTCAGCAGAGCCAGCCCCCCTTGGAAGAGGCAGAATGACCCAGTGGAAACTCCCAGCACCTGTACAACTGACATTGGCCGCACTATGACAAAGAACTTGGCAGCAGCCACCACCTCGCCAATCCCACCTCAATCATTCCTTAATTACTTTTTTCCCATGCTACAGACTGAGTTCTCCCATCCATGCCATACTCAACTCCCCAACCACAACGTTCTGCCTGATCCTCTGCCATTGCCAGCCACGGTTTGCAATGCCCTCGCAGGAGGAGGGTTGGGAGTCCCAGCTCTCCCACTGCACTCCTACCCGCTGCCACCCCTCCCCTTGAATGCCTGGTGACTTTGCAAAACTTTGCAAAAGAACATGACCCAAAACAGCTCCTTGATAGCAAGCAAATCTTGCTAGGATGAGGAGAGAGGAAGAAAGAGAAACACAGCATCACGTGAATTTGTAGTTCAAAAACAAGAGCGAAAAAAAGAAGTTATTTCTCCCTCTGATCCGAAAAGTTATGTTATATACAAGCAGCAAATTGTAGCAAAATCTCTGTGAGCACAGACTGGCCCCAGGGACATGGCTTCCTCATTCCTCAGCAGCAGCTGAGCCACCTCAGCCTGCTCAGCTCACACATCTGTTCCCCTGACGCACCCAGGTCCCATCCTGCTGCCATCTGCTCCTCTTTCCTCCCCCACACGCTGTGTACAGCACAGCCAGCAACCAGGGCTCTGAGCAAAGCACACGCTGACCGCCGGTCCCACCCTGCCAGGCCTCCTTCTCCTTTAGAGAACCAGAGCGCATTTCATCGATACGTGCTGCTGACAAAAGCTGAGGATTTCTTCCTAAAGCTGCAGTTCTGGCAGATTGCCACGCAAAAGCGACAGCCTGAAGCCTCCACCCAGGTCAGTAGGTCCTGAACCACTTGCAGGCAGCCCTGCTTGCACAGCCTTGGCCTGCTCAAAGGGCAGCGCGGGGAAGTTTTGTGCGCCTTTCCAGACCAGCCAGCATGGACATCACTGAAGTCACCGCTGTGATTTACCACGCCTTGGTGTACAGCACAGTAGGTGACTTCCTGGTTGAGGAATTACTATTTGAACAGGAGGGAGGACCAACAGAGATTATACGAGTATGTAACACAGCTGGGGAGACTATAAAGCTCTCCTCTGTAGCGCTCAGTCGGGTAAGAGCCGTCCATGTGGATACTGAAACTTCCCAAATGTCATTGCTAACTACTCCAGCTTCAGGTGTCTGACAATTTCCCAAATCCGGAGTTTTTTGCCATTGCAAACATGGGGGGCAAGCACACACAAGAAGTGCACTGCCCTCCTAAAAGTACCGTGCTTGAGAATGACATCAGCTCTGCAATCACAGCCAGGTAAGGATCCAGAGCAGCAAAACCCACAACCTTTGTGACCAATGCAGCCTGGACAAGGTCAGAAACATACAATGGCCATGCCCGGTTGTGCTACCTTCTAGTATTCAACAGCAACCGACAGCAGAAGGCATGGCTAGCAGGGATCCACTGAGAAAGTTGACCATGCAAAAGAGCTGGCATCAAGGAATACACCTAGAAAGCTAGCTGAGGGCTAGACACAGGGCAGTCAGAAATACCTGGCAGCAAAGCTGTCTCATGCTGACACAAAATCATTATCTCATTCTGTTGATTTAGCAGTGACCACTTGTCACCTCACTAAGTAACCACAACTTGAACAGACTCAGATCTGTCTCTCAGTACCTGCATGGATCTGGCAAAACTGCTCATCAAGCACTAAGTGAAAAGCGTTATACCCTTACTGAAGAGCTGTAAAAAAGTGTTAGAACATAGCCAGCCTCTTCTTCTTCCTTTACTTTGAGTTAGCTAGAAAAATTAGGGGATGCTCTTCGATCCTAGTAAAACAATCTCCACGATTAATTCCTTCTGTACTGGTTTTGGATGGGGTAGAGTTAATTTTCTTGATAGTAGCTAGTATGGCGCTAGGTTTTGGATTTGTGCTGATAACTCAGGGATGTTTTCATTCCTGAGGAGCTGACTCAGAGCCAAGGCCTTTTCTGCGCCTCACCCCACCCCACCAGCGAGGAGGCTGGGCTGCCCAAGAAGCTGGGAGGGGGTACAGCCAGGACAGCTGATCCCAACTGGCCAAAGGGAATATTGCATACCATGTGACATCAGGCTCAGCACATAGCGCTAGGGGAAGGAGGAGGAAGGGGGGAATGTTCGAAGTGATGTTTGTCTTCCCAAGTAACCATTACACGTGATGGAGCCCTGCTTTCCTGGGGATGGCTGAGCACCTGCCTGCCCCAGGAAGCAGAGAATGAATTCCTTGTGTTGCTTTGCTTGCATGCATGGCATTTGCTTTACCTATTTACTGTCTTTATCTCAACCACAAGTTTTGTCACTTTTACTCTTCCGAATCTCTCCCCCATCCCACCGAGGGGGAGCGAATGAGTGGCTGTGTGGGGCTTAGTTGCCGTCTGGGGTTAAACCACAACACCTTCCTATAAATAGATGATTAAGCATCAACCCTAATCAGAACTGGGTTTCATGGATTTTGTTGCAACATCTGGATTTTTTTGGATGTTGATGCAAGTACTTGGCAAACAGACAAGGCTTTCTATGGACATAGCTGTGTATAATCCATCCGTTGTCACATACATCATTCCTGAGTGAACTGGAAGCACCACATGGCCTTCCACGAGAAGGATATCTGGAAGAACATTAAATGGTCATGAACAGACTTATGCAAAGATGACTGCCTTTGATGTAGACATATTTCAGGAGGAAATTTGTGACTTATAAATAATATGCACTAATAAAGCCTATTTGGAAGAGCAGAACTGGGGGCTCGTATCCTAGCTATGACACAGACTTCCCTTTCCATCTCAGTTAGGTCACGTAGGCCCACATTTTTGCTTTTACAAATTAAGTGTTCAAAGTGGGACTCCCTTCTGAAAGGCTACCTGGCCATTGTCTTCCCCTTCGTGTGCCATAGCAACTATACATACTTCCCCACATCATTGCAAGGACTAGTTAATATGCATAAAAGCATTCTGAATAAGTAACATTCTCTAACGCTTATACATTTTAAGGATGAAAGCTTTAGTAGTAGTCATTATTTTACAGCACACTTCCAGGCACAAGAGATTTTTGCAAAAGCTCTACAAAGACTTATAATTAAAACACCCTCCCCTGCACATATTTACAGCTCTGCATGATGTATATGGTATTATTCCTATCGCAACTAACAGAGAACCTGTAGCATAAGGCATGAGTAGAACCTGCATTTCATAGGTCACTGTGATAAGAGAGACGGGTAACACAGTTAACATGAGGGAGAGTTAGAGCAAAGTAGTCATGTACACATCTGGAAGTTAAAATCAGCATGTTAGGCATTTAAAATCCATGGCCTAGCCTCAAAGAGTATTTATTGCATGCAGAAAACACTGGAGAGAAATAAAGCACAGATTTAATTTTTATGAGATGCTAAATGTATGACCAACACACCTCATGTGGCTCTATATGGGATGGAAAAAGACTTTAGTCAAGGGACTAAAGTTTCAGTGCCTTTTCATTACTTAATTCTGCCTCTAAGAAACACATTTATTTTAGCCATTCATACTACTTACATCAGACGGTCATCGCAGATGCCCGAATTATCCCATTTTAGACCAGAACAAATAATCAACACCCAGTTGTTTTTCTTGCATAGCTTTAAGATTAGCTTTTTAATTTCTACCCACCTGTGATGGTTTTAGTCACCAGGTTCAGAGGCCCTCTGATTCAAATCCTTTACAACACAGGAAAGGACTCATGAAACACACTCACCTCTAGTTAATATTTCCTTTGACCATGGAAAGCTCATCCCAGGACAGTTCTGAAGACCCCGAAGAACAGCTGAACAGCTGGACAAGCTTTCATTTCCATGACAGCAGCTATTTGGGCTAACGTCCAAGGGATCAGCCTTGGAAGCATTCATATGTAGAATTTAAACTTAATTGCTGACACACTTCAAATGGGGCTAAACTGGACTCCAATTAGGTAGAGAACAAAAAGTTAACAACCAAGGTTCTACACTGTATGTGTTTATGCAATGCATTTTATTTTGATGATTCTCAAACGTGCCTAGAATTGCATCACTATAAACAGAACCTACTTCTAGTTGTCACTGAAGTGACAGGAGCTGCGGCTGCATAAGCTACTAAAAAGAATCATTATGACATGGCCCTAATGCACAGTAACACAGGCACTGAGGGCACTCATTTCAGAGACTTGCTTACAGCAGACAGTATTAAAGAGGCAATGTCTCAAAGCTTTTCTTTTTTGCTAGGAAAAGAGTGGGCTTCACACACCAGCATTCATATGAAGCCCAGTAATGAGCAAATTTTAGTCCAGAATTCCTCTAGACTTCCGTTTCAGTCTCTGGACTTATGGCTAGCAAAAACCCTGAATGAATATTATACCTCATTTATTTATTGTTGGGACTCTGAAATATCTATATTAATCCCAAAGGAGAAGGGAGAAACTGAGCTCCAGGGTAGCTAAGCTGATAGCACCAAGTTCCTGAAGGAAAACTGAACTGTACATCCACTGACTCTCAGAAACAGCACAAAATGCTAAGCAGCTTCAGTGGCCCAGGAAAGCATCCTGGGTATAAGAGTATTGTTAATGTGCTGCCTTTAGGAGCCAGAGACTTCCTGAGGCTTCCTTATTTTCTGAAAAAAAGATGGGACATTCATAAAGAGGATGCCTGCCTGAGTCATTGCTAAGCACCCAGAGCGTGCAGAAATTGAAGTTTACTGAGAGTCTTTCTTCTCACTGCAATGAACTAGCAATCTTCTCTAGGTCCTTTATCAGATGAAGTATTCTGAGTGCAGATCTAAACTTCTGCCCACCCACATGCGCTAATGCACGTTCAGTGGCTGTTGGATTCTCTTAACCCTGAGAGACTTTCCAATACTGCATACGGAGAGAAAGGGACTGGCACTGATTACACTCCTCCTCAAGGAGAAGAGATGAAATAGGAATCAGACTGTGACTGTCAGTCCACTGTGATTTTCCTGCCCTCTCCCGAGGACTGCACAACTACTTAATCATGCAGGGATAAGGCTCTTGCTGAAAACAAACACTGTGATTTCACTATACCCACACATTCAGCTTCCCATTTCCCCACAGGCGGGACAGTCTGCAAAGAGTTGACATCGTCCATAAGACTCTAGAACATATATATTGCTCTAAGCACCTCTGATCTGAACAAGGCTCCACCACTATGAAAGCACAGTTTCACACTACAACCTTTGGACAAATATTAAATCACAGCACAGTATATTGCGAGCATCAAATAAAGATTTGAAAGCTGGGTTATAGGACCCTGAAGGTATGTTTATCATAGAAATGCTGGTGGAAGCTTAATTACAGTGATAGTACTATATGCTGCTCTGCTAGGCAAGCTATTTAAGACCTTTCAATAATGTTTTGCTGTAATGGGAACAGTTCAAGCTGCAATAGCAGGTCTGCGACATAGAAAACATTATAGCAGTTGATCTTATTCCTTCCAATGCACTCATTGTAATAGGTTTTTTTCTGCTGCTCCACCTGTCAGTTGCCCTTATCTCTAGAGAACACAATTGCCTTTTTTCTGCCATTTCCAGTTAGTTATGATTTTCAGATTCAGCTTAGAGAAGCTTCACTCAATCTAAAATAAGCATATCTTTTTCGCGTATCTCATTTATTTGAGGAAACTAAAGGGTTCTTATTGAATGCTGAGCATGTGATTGTGTTGCACCCAAGTAGCTATTTTCTGCTAGGTAATAAAGAGCTGCAACACTTACCATTCCAAGAAGCCTGAGAAAATTAAATACCCACTAGATATTCCTCAGAAGTAGCCAAAGGAAGGAATAAGACAGTATAAGGGGGGGTCACCTAGAGAAACAGTTTTCCCAGCCCCAACATCAGATAGTGCAATGCCAAAAAAAGAATGAGAGGCATCTCCTCTTGGAACACAGTTTGGGCTTTCTCAGCTTCAAGTTTGTTTTCCCTTCATCCTACTGTCTCAAACTAGGAACCGTTCCCTCCATCCGTGCTCCCACACACATTTCTCCCTGCTTACATCCCCACCTTTTTTAAAGAAGATCCCAAACCCATCTTCCTGTCACACCTTTACCTACCCAAACAAATCTCTCACCCGCACTTCCCCACATCTTTACAAATCCCATGAGATTCCTATCTAAATGCATAAAACCCTACTGCCTTGTTTTTCTACAATTCTACTTCATGTCACCTAACTCAAGAAACAGGCACTTTCTACAACTGAAGATAGGGCAATAGAGCCTACAGGGAAATCAAGCCCACTTTGTCTACATAAAATTCACAAATGCCAG